TTAAAGAGGCTGCTATAAGGGCAAGTCACATCTAAATACTAGTATCTCTTTCTTCAAAGATTAATTGTTCACACATTTTTTATGCAATTAATTCAGTCTTGTTCCAGTTAAGAATGATACACTTTGTTTTCCGATTCTGTTTTTAGCTCTACTGGTCAGAGACCAGAAGAGCTTATGCGATAGTAATGCGTCCGGCGTCCGTCCGTCTGTCTGTCTGTCTGTCTGTAAACAATTTTTCAAAACGCTACTCCTCTTACAGTTTTGGTCTGATTTCAATATAACTTGGCACACAAGTAGACTACACTAAGATACATAGAATAGTGCATCAGTTTTTAATTTCGATGAACGGTGTTGCCATGGTTACTAAAAATAGAATTTTCTATGAAATTCCTTTGAAATGCTACTCCTTCTACAGTTTTGGTCTGATTTCAATATAACTTGGCACACAAGTAAGCTACACTAAGATACATAGAATAGTGCATCAGTTTTTAATTTCGATGAACGGTGTTGCCATGGTTACTAAAAATAGAATTTTCTATGAAATTCCTTTGAAATGCTACTCCTTCTACAGTTTTGGTCTGATTTCAATATAACTTGGCACACAAGTAAGCTACACTAAGATACATAGAATAGTGCATCAGTTTTTAATTTCGATGAACGGTGTTGCCATGGTTACTAAAAATAGAATTTTCTATGAAATTCCTTTGAAATGCTACTCCTTCTACAGTTTTGGTCTGATTTCAATATAACTTGGCACACAAGTAGACTACAGTAAGATACATAGAATAGTGCATCGTTTTTTAATTTCGATGAACGGTGTTGCCATGGTTACTAAAAATAGAATTTTCTATGAAATTCCTTTAAAATGCTACTCCTTCTACAGTTTTGGTCTGATTTCAATATAACTTGGCACACAAGTATACTACACTAAGATACATAGAATAGTGCATCGGTTATTGATTTCAATGAACGGTATTGCCATGGTTACTAAAAATAGAATTTTCTGTGAAATTCCTTTAAAATGCTAAGTACAAACCAGTAGAGCTACAGTCTCGACAGAGACTTCTGGTTTAAACTCTTATACCAGGTCTGGATGATTTCCAACTATGGAAGTCAAGAACGATATCTGAAAGTTGCTATGAACAATAGAAAACACTTGTTGTTTTTTTTCAAAAGATTTTCTTGATAAAAATATCTTTCAAAGTAAGAAAAAAAGTTTGGAAGAGTGAAAAATTTCCCACATATTTACCGTGAATAACCTTTACATTTTAATCTCATTTAATTACTAAAGGAAAAATTTATACTAATACATGTACAATGATACAAGTTATTGTGTAACAAAATGTGATATTTATGGAGGAATAATTTGCTGTCAACTTATTATCAAATACAATTGAAATCAGGAATAGTCTAATGTTTGGTACATATGAGTGCTGACAGAAAGGAGGGAGAGAGAGAAGAAAAGAGGGAAGTGAAAGAGAGTTGGGTGAGAGAGTGGGGAGAGAGAATGGTGAGAGAGGAGGGTGAGAGAGTGGGGAGAGAGGAGAAAGAGTGGGGAGAGAGGAGGGTGAGAGTGGGGAGAGAGGAGGGTGAGAGAGTGGGGAGAGAGGAGGGTGAGAGAGTGGGGAGAGAGGAGGGTGAGAGAGTGGGGAGAGGAGGGTGAGAGAGTGGGGAGAGGAGGGTGAGAGAGTGGGGAGAGAGGAGGGTGAGAGAGTGGGGAGAGGAGGGTGAGAGAGTGGGGAGAGAAGGTGAGAGAGGAGGGTGACAGAGAGGGGAGAGAGGAGGGTGAGAGAGTGGGGAGAGAAGAGGGGAGAGATTGGGGAGAGAGAAGGGTGGGGTGAGAGAGTGGGGAGAGAGGAGGGTGAGAGAGTGGGGAGAGAGGAGGGTGAGAGAGTGGGGAGAGAGGAGAAAGAGTGGGGAGAGAGGAGGGTGAGAGTGGGGAGAGAGGAGGGTGAGAGAGTGGGGAGAGAGGAGGGTGAGAGGGTGGGGAGAGAGGAGGGTGAGAGAGTGGGAGAGAGAGGAAGGTGAGAGAGTGGGGAGAGAGGAGGGAGAGAGAGTGGGGAGAGAAGGGGAGAGAGGAGGGTGAGAGAATGGGAGAGAGGAGGGTGAGAGAGTTGGGAGAGAGGACCGTGAGAGTGAGGAGAGAAGAAAAGTGAGTGGGGAGAGAGGAGGGTGGGAGAGTGGGAGAGAGGAAGGTAGGAGTGGAGAGAGGAGGGTGAGAGAGTGGGGAGAGAGGAGGGGGAGAGAGGAGGGTGAGAGTGAGGAGAGAAGAATTTGAGAGAGTGGGGAGAGAGGAGGGTGAGAGAGTGGGGAGAGAGGAGGGTGAGAGTAAGAAGAGAAGAAGGTGAGAGAGTGGGGAGAGAGGAGGGTGAGAGAGTGGGGAGAGAGGAGTGTGATAGTGGGGAGAAAGGAGGGAGAGAGTAGGGAGAGAGGAGGGTGTGAGTGGGGAGAGAGGAGGGTGAGAGAGTTGGTGAGAGAGGAAGGTGAGAGAGTGGGAGAGAGAGGAAGGTGAGAGAGTGGGAGAGAGAGGAAGGTGAGAGAGTGGGGAGAGAGGAGGGTGAGAGAGTGGGGAGAGAGGAGGGTGAGAGAGTGGGGAGAGATGGTGAGAGAGGAGGGTGACAGAGAGGGGAGAGAGGAGGGTGAGAGTGAGGAGAGAAGAGAGTGAGTGGGGAGTGAGGAGAGTGGGATAGAGGAAGGTAGGAGTGGAGAGAGGAGGGTGAGAGAGTGGGAGAGAAGAGGGTGAGAGAGTGGGGAGAGAGGAGTATGAGAGAGTGGGGAGAGAGGAGGGTGAGAGTGGGGAGAGAGGAGGGTGAGAGAGACCTTGATCATGCTTCTGAAAATAGTGTTTTGAAATAATGCAAAACACTATTTTCAGAAGCATGATCAAGGGAAATAATTCAACAATTGGGGTTTATTAAAGCCGACGATGTACTTTATATAGGTCACAGGTATCCAATGATAAAAAAAGATGGTTGTTCCATAATTTCGTTGATGAGTTAAACAATATGCGTTTTTTTTGTTGAGTATATATTCCAACCTCGATTTCTCAGACATTGTACGCTCTAATTTTGCAGAATTGACGTTCTTTTGCCAACCTCATAATGTAAAAGATCCAAATTTCTGGTATGTTTTTAGCTCTACTGGTCAGAGACCAGAAGAGCTTATGCAATAGTAAGGTGTTCGTCGTCCGTCCGTCTGTCTGTAAACAATTTTTAGCTCACCTGAGCCAAAGGCTCAAGTGAGCTTTTCTGATCACATTTTGTCCGTCGTCCGTCCGTCTGTCTAGCTGTCTGTCCGTCTGTAAACTTTTCACATTTTCGACTTCTTCTCAAGAACCACTGGTACAATTTTGACTTGGTACAAAGTTCCCTTACAAGGGGAGATAATCAAGAAAAGACAAAATTAGGGTGGGTCATTAAAAAATCTGCTTCTCAAGAACCACTGGGTCAAAAAAGCTGAAACTTATGTTGAAGCATCCTAGGGTAGTGTAGATTCTAAGTTGTTCAAATCATAACTCCCGGGGGTAGGGCGGGGCCACAATGGGGAGTCAATTTTTACATAGAAGTATAAAGGAAAAATCTTTGAAAATCATCTCAAAAACCACTGAGCCAGAAAAGCTGAAACTTATGTAGAAGCATCCTGGGGTAGTGTAGATTCTAAATTTTTCAAATTATGATCCCCGGGGGTGGGGGGGGGGGTACAATGGGGAATCAAAGTTTTACATAGAAATATATAGGAAAAATCTTTGAAAATCTTCTTCTCAAGAGCCACTGGGCCAGAAAAGCTGAAATTTATGTGCACATGGAAGGATCCCTGGGTAGTGTAGATTTCAAAATGTCTAAATTATGATCAGTGGGGTAGGATGGGGATGCATTATGTATTCCAAGGGTGAAATCTGGTAAAGAACGGTATTGTCAAAGCTTCTCAGGTGAGCGGTGTGGCCCATGGGCCTCTTGGTAAAAACGCTTCTCCTCCTACAGTTTTGGTCTGCTTTTAATATAACTTGGCACACAAGTAGACTACACTAAGATACATAAAATAGTACATGGGTTTTTGATTATGATGAACGGTGTTGCCATGGTTACTAAAAATAGAATTTTCTGTGAAATTCCTTTGAAACGCTACTCCTTCTACAGTTTTAGTCTGATTTCAATATAAATTGGCAAACAAGTAGACAACACTAAGATACATAGAATAGTGCATAGGTTTTTGATTTCGATGAACAGTGTTGCCATGCTTACTAGTAATAGAATTTTTTGTGAATTCCTTTAAAATGCTACTCCTTAAGTTTTGGTCTGATGGCAATGGCTTCTTTTATCATCCTTTTTTATAAGTGCAATCCAGTAGAGCTACAGTCTCGACAGGGACTTCTGGTTTAAAAGATAAAATTGAAATGTAAAAAGTGATAAATAAATTTTCAATTAAAACATTGCCATGCTCCGGGTCACAATCTTAAATCTAATATTGACGTCATAATTGTAAATGAATATTTAAAATCGAATACAAATTTATACATTTTGTAATTCACATTTAGTAAAGGATTGTAAATATGCTAATAATAAATATCAAAGGCACAATTTCTATTTTAATTTAGTTAATTTAGGCTTGTCCACAAACTTTACGTACAACCCTCGTACATTAAAAGGCGGGTATCAGTCTGCAAAGGAATAAATGAAAACTATTTTGATGATTTTATTTCTTTCAATTGAACAGGGATACTGAGTATTCAACACATGTATGTTAAAACAGGAGCATCCCCTTGTGCACACGCCATAGGCTTCTTGTCATGATCGGAATATAATTTACCAAATCCTTCCTTTTTTCATAATAGAACATTTCATTGGAATTAAAGTTACTGAAATAAAGCTTATACAAACGACCAATTTCTGTTTAAAACAAAGAGAAAATGAACTGTTCAATGTACAATGTTCTTAAAGATGAACAAGATAAGAAGAATCTATGTATAACAACTAATATAGATACGACTATAAAATATCTGCTCTTGCACATCAAAAATATAATTTAAAAAATAAAGGTATAGAAAACAGGGATAATAGGGATAAATTTTCGGCCACTGTTCGGCCAGCTGCACTGTGTCCGTCAACAACATTGGGACGGCCTACGCTGTTTGTGGTGGACATCGAAGCTGGTGGAGTTGTGACTCTGCATCCACCTGGGGGACATTGCGGGCAGTCTGGGGGTCTGTCAGGGTTTTCTGGAGCACATTCCGGGCGAGGTCCTCCGCCTCCACCACCGGGGCCCGAGTTTACACAGTGACAGAGATAGTAGTCGTATCCATAGCTTTCCATGTTCCAGTCTTTATATGGAAAAAAATGTTTCCAAGTAATTTGAAAATAGAAATAAGAAATGAACACTTATATAAAAGCGTGTTTTCCCTGCTTATAATAAGCAAACTGAATTGAATAGGAAAATTAAAAACTAATTTTGAAAAGAAGGAGGCGATTTTTATTGGAATTTGGCAAGAAACTGGCCGCACTTGAAACGTACGTTTTATGTATCCACCACATTTGCTATTCCATTTTCATATTGAATTATACAAAGGGAATTACTTTCCAAATATTGTTTTTATCTGCTAAAGGTTTATTAGAAATATTAGTTAAATGAGTAATTTTGTACAAAATATTGAAATTAGTTTGCCTAAGCCGAATTTTAAGGAATATTTGGGGAAAATGTTAAGTATACATGATTCCCGCAGATCAAAGACAAATAACGCGCATTTCCCGGTACATGGAAACTCTAAAGATTAATTTAAAAAACACTCACGTGATGTATTTGTGGTACAATTGTAAGAAGTAATAGTTCCTTGATTAACAACACGTCCTTTGAAACAACCCAAATAATATGGAAATCTCTCTGTAACATAATATCTGTAACTCCCATTGACAAATTTTCCATGACACTTGTCCAATTCAGCTTCGGAAATGTTCTTGGTCTGTCCAACCCTCGGTCCATAGATAGGAAAGCCATCAAGCGCCACTCCAATGAATTCGTCAATTTCCCCTTTATACATACAACTGTCGGGTATTTTATGGTAATGATAAGCACCATTTGGACTTGCGTGTCCATCACATTGATCGAATGTTTCGGGACTGGATCCCTCCACAGCATTTGTTAACTCCCCTGCCAGTGGATTGTAGATGGCGACACCAGTTCGTGTAATCCCAATCATTCCCAGCCCGACACATCCAGGTACTTGTTCAATTTGGGGATTTTTCAGAATTGTTATATTGTAGTTCTGAGCTGTGGGTGTGTTTGGATTGACTCTCTGTGTTTCATGATCAGGAAGTCC